TCTAATCAGGACTATCTCAGCAAAGGAGAAATGCTCACTGTCAAAGATTTAGACTGGTTTGTGAAAAATATTTGAGGGAAATTGTTATATTGTGTATGTAGAAAGTTTTAGATCTCTGGGTTCATCTCATAAAAAATGTGAGAAAACCAAAAGTGTTGCATTTATATTTTGGTTGAGTGTAGTGTCTCTTCTCTGTCTGCAGGGTTCGACTAAGCTGCTGCTGTCCGCTTTGCATTATATCGCTATAATGAGGCAGACTAAAGATGGTTCTGCTAGTTTATCAAGCTCTGTTTAGTTTGTGTTGTTGTTCATTTTGCTTTTTGAACACACCTCTCTCAGGATGGCCAATAAGTTTTTTCTTCGTTTTCAATTATTTCATTTTGAAGGGAATCTACGTTATGCAGTATATGCTGAAATTGTTTAGTATTTTTGTCACTTTTATAGTTCAAAAGTCTTGCATCATTCTTAATTTTGTGATTCTTTTGCTTTCAAAGAGTCAGTTTCTCTGAAAGTTGTCCCTAAATATCTTGTTATTCCGTTTTTTGGCTCTTGCAGAGTTTTTAACTTGGGCAGTTGCAGTTTTTCTTTATCTTATTTTGAATCATTTAGCTAATTAAGGTTCAAACTTCAGCAAATAGTAGTGCTTTACTGACATTTAACAGATAAGGTAGCCAGGGGTTAAAGTTTAATTAGATCTTAGGTACTTTTTACCAAGCAGTCTGGAAAAAAAACATTGTTTGTTCCAGTTTATTTAGCTCACAAAGTGAAGTTTAAGTTAATAGTTTTAGAATTAAATTTGCACCAATAAAAAACTAAAAACTTGCAATCAGATCACTTAAAGCTATACTTGTTTACATGACCAAAACATCGTAGTTCTATGCTCTTCTTAATAACTTCCAACATTTTTAGGCTTGCAGTGCAAAGGATTCTAAGATCTGCAAAGCGTTAACAGAGCCGATCCTTCAGAAGAATTTGAGATGCAAAAACAGGAGTCTCTTTGTTTTCCTTTCTCATCTGAAATCTCATGTAAGATTCCATGGTGTCTTTATGAAAGGCTGCAAAGTAACAAATTCCACAGAGATCCAATTTAGATGAAACATTTTAGAATATTTCTGTCCAGACACAACAACAGTCTCGTTTCATGTTAAAGTGGGAAACATCTGATTCAGATTTAGCTTAGAAGGAAGGTGGACTAACATAGATATGGAGCCAAGTTTTCAAGAACAACTCTTATGAATTCTTCAATAAACATTTTTAATTGCAAAGTTACTATCTATATTTATGTCTTTCTTAGTCTTTGCCAAAGAAAATATGGAGAGAGCAAATCATTATGAGGCTCCTTCCTGTTTTTTTTTGTTTCATATTTATTTATATGCTTTGAAATTGTCTATATTTTATCACATTAGGACCACAAAATTCGGTGTATGACTGTGCAGTCTATGGTTTGGACCAAAACAAAGTGATTGTGAAGTAGAATAAACTGATATATGTATTTCATAGGTTTTTACAAAGAAAAAACATTCAAGAGGTGTAGCATGAGCCCATTGTTTACGTGCCACATTATTTATTTTGTTTGCTCTAGGTCTGAATGTTAATTCTAATGCATGAATATGCTTTTATTCAAACGCCATGTCATTGCCCTGCACTGCCCTCCACTCAGTCCTTGTTTAAAAGAAGCCTCCATCCTCCACAGTGGGAGGTGGAATATTCATGGTAAGGTGCAGCTTTTATGCCATACAACAGTATTTTCTTTAAAGGACCAGAGCACTTTCTTCTACATGTTTAGCTGAACATTTCCATTCCATAAAGTGCAGCAGTGATCAGTTGCCTTTCCAAAATTTCTTTCTGATTAATGGTCTGCTTTCCTAGACATATCTTGAAGATAGCAAAACTCTTGGTAGGCAAGCAGTTTTGCCATACTATCACCATTTTAAAAGATGTATTGAACAGTGTTTTGTGAGATATTCAAAGCTCAGAATGTTTTTTTCTGCTTTAAACTTCTCCACAAATTCATCCCTGATCTGTTTCTTGTGTTTCGTGTGTGTCTTCTACAGAGGTGAATTTGGGCCAAAAAGTTTATTTTACAGAAATAAATTAAAACAGGAGAAAAAAGCATTTACACCTAAAAAACAAAAAAAAAAGAAAAAAGAAAAAATACAACAGGAACCAAAATAATAGATTTTTGAGCTGCTAGTCATGACCTTATGGCCCCGATTATCCTCCATCGTTTGTTCAATTAATTTATCTGTATGAAACACCCAAGACATCAAAACTGCTCACAACTGGTATCACAGTAAAGATCATGTTGGATATATTGTCCAGCTCTACATATTTGTGGTCACACATTTCCAACCAGAGACCCCGGCCTTGAGCAGCCTCTGAAGGGACATTTATGACACCAATCAGATCAACAAATGACGTGTCACCAAGAGAAGGAGATGAGTTTAAAGGATGATTCACTCTCCATCCTCTCCCAGGGTAACAAGGTAATGAAATGTTGTGGAAGAAATGTGGAGAGGACAGACGGCTGTAAGAGGGAACAGAGGATGAGGCGGTGAGGAGTGATGGAGAGAGAAAAAAGAAATGTGTGTAGGCCATGCGTGTGTGTCTGGTGTCAACTTGATAAATGTGGTGCAGGAGCCATTGTGGTGGTGAGGGAGCAGGAGGCCGCCAGATAACAGCAGAGTGAGGCCTGAATACAGACACACGAACATCATCTTTAATTACCATCCAATGACTTTATTCTGTCTCTGCAAGCGACTGTGTGATGTCTCCTCCTGCTCACCGAGAAAAAGTGGCTTCTACAGGTCAATCAGCCAGGTTTCCTTACATGAAAAGCTTCTAACCAATCTGTCTGTATAATTTGATTAAACTGACTCTGTAAAGTGCCTCCAGACAACATGTGTTTTGATTTATATAAAAAAAATTCTTAATTTTTAATCAGTTACATCATTGCACTCTACAGATGGCAACACGGTTTGTTCAAAATACAGCTATCAAAACCATGTTAACATACATCATCATCAAAGATCTGCTTATTTGTCTAGAAATGTGAGACAAATGGAGCAGATATGCAGTTTGAACATTATGCACGCTAGTATGGCGCCCTCTAGTGGTTGGAATTGTCTGTTTGCATAATTCCAAGCAGACCTGGAATATAGAGTATAATATACCAGACATCTATCTTCATTTGATCTATAGCAGAAAAAAGGTAAAACCACAAAGGCTTCTGTGTTCTTTCTACATTAGTATCGGGATTATTACAAATGTTCGGTGCAGTTATTGTATTATCTACAAAAAACTATTATTAATTCATCTTTTTTTTAAAACTTCATTAAAAATATGTTTAGCTTTTCTGTACCTTTAACTTTTATTGTTACAGTAAGTCACAATAAGTAGGTAAGTAAAAAAATTCCAAAAAAAGTTGGAAAAAAATTCCAACTTTATGCTATATCTTCATTTTTAACATTGCCTGATTTTAATTCTGATTTTCTGACATTTCTCACTTAAATGACTGTGGAAAATACATATATACATTGAGTTTAGGGCTGAAACGATCAGATTAATCATGATTAATCGATTATTGAAATAATCAACTAATTTAGTAATTGATTAATCATTAACTGGAGTATAGAGACTGGAAAACATACCTTTAGATGTCAGAGCGACCCACTAAGAGCAGTTATTATGCCAAGATTGTAAAATTCTTTTAGCATTTTTCATTTAAGATGAAAAAATCTATTTCCAGAACTCCTCATGTGGAAAACTTTTAGTTTCACCTGGTTTCATTTCATAATTCTTCTTTAAGGAACCTTCAACTTTCTGATTATTAATCGAAAAAATAATCAACAGATGAATCGATTTGCTAAATAATGGTCAGTTGCAGCCATGAATGACTTTTAGTTTTTCCTCTAGGCCTATTAATCTGTGCATTTCAAAGGTGCTTATATATTTTAATCTCATTTTTTTAAACTTTATTTTTATTCTATATTTCATAACTTTTAAATAGGAGACTTACTTTTTTTTTAACCAGTTTTGATTTATAATATTCTAAAAATGTTTACTTTCCTTGCAGTCTGAATTGTGACTTTATTAACAATAAAAGGTATTTTAATGCAGAAATATTACATATTAAAAATATTGGGCATTCATTTAAACTTTTTCTGGACACTTGAATTGGTGTTGATGATGACAGTTTGGCCTTAATTAAATACTACATGAAAAATGTGGGGCGAAAAAAGATGAGAAATGTGAGTAAATATATTTGAGAAGCCCTCACTTCCACAGAAAGTTATGTGGAAGTGAGGGCCAAATGTCATACATAATCAAAATTATATATGACATTTGACCCTGTAATGATGTTTTACATAGAAATTTAACATAACAACCAATTCTTGTGTATTCTGTGATTCAGATGTTGAAACAGCAGAACATCTTTTTTTTCACTGCAATATCATAAATATTTTTTAGTAGAATTTTCAAAATTGGATCTTACGGAAGACTTCTTTACCACTTTTGTATTTTGATATAAAAAAAATTTTTTTAACGGGGGATAGAGAATCAAACTATGTTAATAACAATTTTTCATACATAAGTGTCGATTTCAAAAAATTACCCCATCTCTCAATATTTTTATAAGTGAGATACTTTTATTCAAAGAAGTACTAACCCATTGTAAAAACCCTAAAGCCCAATCAATGATGCAATATATTGAGAATTTACTTTAAAATTCAAGAGTCCTGTTTTTATTTTATTTTATTTTTTTATTTTATTACTTTGTTCTATGATCTGGTATTTTTGTTTCTCTGTATGATTCTATTTGTTAATGAGATATTCAATTTACAACTTTGTATAACTGTTTTGATATGTCTTGTAATAGTTTGATTGTTCAATTAAAAAAAAAAATAAAAAAAAATAAAACAAAAAAAAAAAAAAAAAATTGAGAAGCCCTCGGTTCCGCGGTGAGACGGAAGTGTTTGAGGAGGAGAGAAAACGGAGCAATCGAGCGGCTGAATCCGGAGAAGCAGAGCCAACCACCGCTAACGGCGCTCAACTCGTCTGGACTACCCGGGCTAACTTTAGCTACATGTGCTGAGGTCGATCCCGACTGCAACGATGCCCACGGTTACTTTACCGCCGAAGGAGAACGCTCTCTTTAAGAGGATTCTGGTGAGTTAGTCGTTAAAGAGCTACTCTCTCGGCTGTAGCCGGTTTTTCTGCTCCAACCGCAGCTGACAGCCGCTTCAGTTTGATAGCAAAATTGTATCATTGAATGAGTTAGCTAGCCAGCTAGCCTGGGCCTCAATATGCGCTGTCACTGCTCCGCGTTAACGGCTAGCACTGCTATTGTCGGGGCTTCGAAAAAAAAGTGTTATTCGTATTAAACTATAATTTTATTTCAGTTAAGGGCGTAAATTACTCAATGTTGACAGTCGATTAGAGGCAGGCCCCGCCATTTGTCACAACAAACATACTTCATTTAAGCTAACTCCCTAGCCACATGTTAGCTTTCAAGTTAGCTTCCACCTTGTAATTTAAAACACCTAATTTATATATATTCTTACAGTTTTACTCAGAATAATATTCAGATACCAGACGTTTTCTATTACGTGTGTTGCATTGTAAACTGGGACTACATTAAAGCTTATAAACGTTAGGGTGTACAATCGGCTAATGCTGCTCAGCCTCGCTAGCTTGAGTAAGCGGCGTGCGGGTAGATGTTTAAAGTAATTTCTGCAGCTACTGGCTAACATTAGATCGGTTCAGATAGGTGTTACGGGTTTGTCAGAGGTGAAGGCGCTCCAATGAGAGGTGTGACGGTATCATGGTATTTGTAACGGATCTGTTTGTAGCCTGGCTGTGAACTTGTAGTCTTGCATGCTGACAAGTGGAGTTGAAAGAAACTACCATGGGGTCCAGTTTCGGCACATTTGATTTCCTACGTCTACTATGCTTTGTGTATTCCTGTATCACTGTTGATGCACGCACTGTAGTGACACACTTTCAAGTAGCCAATATGGGCAGGTAAAGCACTATTATCCGGTTCACTTAAATGTGATTGTTTTTAAGAGCCGGTGGCTCTGCTGGAAGCTAGAGGATGTTGACCCGATTATTGGGCTGCATTGGAAACGCTGTGACCTGGACACGAATCTACTAAGCTGCTGCAGATCACATTGTTCTGTTGACTCAAAGAAAAAAAAGGTTTGGAACAAAATCGGATCAGAGCTTTATTTTACTAATATGATCCTTTAAAAATGATAGATTTTAGACAACTGGCTGTAGTAAATCAAATACTCATGCTTTATTGTAATTTCCAAGTATATTTGTCTCTCTGGAAGCTTCTATGTGTTACCATTATATCTCTTTGTACTTACCTTTTGTTACACATTTTGTTCTTGTAAAATAGCATATCAGTAGGGCGAGATGATAGGACCAAAATAATAACTGGTTTTCTAAATTTGGTCTGCACTATAAAATTCAGATCAATTAATATTAATGACTTTATAAGGTTTCAGAGAAACTGCCAAGGATGTCCACTATAGATGTCTTTACAAGCATCTTAACCCTATAATGCCAAATGTATCATATTTGATACATACACTTTCTGAAATGTTTTGCGTCTGACACCTTTTGCATAATTTAATGGTAAAAACCTAGCTTAAAATCCTATTGTACACAATCAGATATACCTGATAACAGAGGGCAGAAGACTACACAAAAAATAATCTTGACTTATCGCATAGTAATAAATTATCAATATCAAATGTATTTCTGTTTTTTCTTTTTACATATTTTGTTACAAGGCCAAATAAGGACTTCAAACCAAAAAAAAGTAATTTTCTGTTTTGTCTTATTCTTGGATCAGGCTTTAAAGGGTTAAAATAGTTTTGCCAAGTCTAGATAACTTCTCCAATATAACAGTGTAAAAATATGTACTACAAAATAGACTTGTATAAAGCAGTTTTATTTAGAGCTTTGACACAACAAATAATATATTTAACTAGGTGTTTATCTCTCCTTCCTCATATTTCTTATTCAGTGGGTTCTCACTTTCCCTGTCACTGACTCCTTTATTCTTTGTTGATCAACTTTCATTTCTCCAAAAAGACAAATTAAACCTAAACCTGACAGATTGTTTTAAAATTCACTGTAATGTATTAGCAAAACAACTCGTGGCTTTAAAAGTTTAAATTCTAAAACGCCTAATTTTGCACGTACACTTGTTGATACTGAAGGCAACACTTTACAGGTAGTTTGTCTATTTCTGTTCTGTTTTTTAATCATCTTGATGTTTCTCCCCTTTTCTAGCTTTGACTTATGATGTTCTGTTTCTTATCTTTAAAAAATAAAACAGATCTCAAACATGTTTCCTTCAACCTGGGCTTAGTCAAACTTTACAGCACTAGTAACGGGTTGGTTATACTCCCCGCATCAGCGTGTCGCAGTGAGCTTGTGGCAGGTATTTTTGATTTATGCCCAATTTTGAAGCGTGGTCTGCGCTATGTTATTCCACGCCACAACGCAAGAGGGACAATCAGGAACTAGCTTTCTCGCGCACCTCTCTCTTCTAGCTAGTCAAACTTCACAAATTATTTTACACAATGGTGGTCATACAAACAAACCAAGCCGATAAGGTACCAAACAGGAAATGCGCATAATGTAGAGCGGATGTAGATTTGGCCAATCAGATGCCTACTGTCAACGGTCAACCTACAATCTTGGAGAGGTCCAGCTGAGTGTCTGTGGCGGGGACACATTTACATTCACTGCGACACACACGCAGACAACCTGGTTTCTGAATATAAATCAGCGCTTCCTTTAGCACATACCAAATGTCCATTAGGGCAAGGATCAGCTCAATCAGCGCAAAATAATCAATTCATGCATCACATACCACACCACAGAAAACATTGTTGTTTGGTCGCCTTATCAGGGATCATGGGCACTCCTTTGAAGCTAGAGCTTAATTCCTTGGTGCACAGCTCCAGTCCCTTGACTGTGGTCTGTGTTGGTGACTTTGTTTAAATTGGCTGTGCCCTGAGTGTCAGTCAAATAAAAATATGATAATCATTTGCAGTGCATGTAGAAATACCAGAAATGTCCTCAAGTCATATTATCATAGAATATAAATTAAATACATTTTGAATTATCAAACCCTACATATCAGTATATTTCCATTGTGGACATGCTTGTCAACAATGTCCAAAATTAACACACTTAATATGTGACAAGATTTTTAATTTGCCGAGTTAATGCCAATGCACCATTCACCACATGGTGACTGAATGTTTGGAGTCGGGCTGGAAAATTAATCGGAATAATCATGATTAATCGGTTATTGAAATAAGCTAATTAGTAAGCGATTAATTGTTTACTGGAATATAGAAACTAAAACATGCCTGTAGCTGACAGAGCTACAATTACTGCTCTAGTTACACTAATGCCGAGCATACACTCAACGCTTTTTTTTTTTTTTGCCTTTTTCGCTCCCTATTTTCCAGTTGTGTGAGAATTTTTCGATCGGGCCGAAATGGAGTTCTTTCTGTAAAATTGACAGATTTGGGGATTAAAGTAATCCGGCCCCAGGCCGGATTTCCAGCTCGTAGTATTTGCCCATGGGTAGAAAAAAATCACAGTGCTGAAGTTTCACACGGAAGGTCACCTTGCACTGTTTAAGGCTCCATTCAATGGAGAGACGCGTAAACAGTCAAAAAATACTATACAATATAAAATTAAACTTTGTGTTTGGAGAGAAGGACAATAGAGAGAATGGAATTTTTGGAGTGGGCACAATGCAGTTCATGAACTCTGGGGAAGATGTTCCGACCAAAGATAAAGGTCTCAAAAATAAATGGCACTGGGCATGGCTCAAGGAGACAGGACGAGAAGGCAAGCCACTTAGCAGCTGGTGTAGGAAGTTAGGTGAACCAGGCGCTTGCTTCTGCACACTGTGCTCCAGGAACACGTAGCAGCAAAACTGGATATCAAAAGAAATGTGGTACATGCAAGTGGTAGATATAGATGCATTTTTGCCATCTTCTGGACATTTTTGGTATTGGATTTTCAAAAGTCAAATTTGGACTTCAATCATTCATGCATTCTTTGATCCCATGTGAGCTGTAGCTGTGTGCAATGATTGAAAATATCGCACAGTGTATGCCCGGCTTTAGAGCAGTTATTATGCCAAGATTGTAAAAAGTAGGGATGCACGATATTGGGATTTTGGCC